ATTTCTTTCTCAACCTGTTTATGTATGTATGTAGGAGAGTTACTGATTTTTTGGGTTAATCTTGTATCCTGCAGTATTATGGAAGGTGTTTATCACATGTAGAAATTTCCTGGTAGAATTTTTAGGGTCACTTATGTAAACTATCATATCTTCTGCAAATAGTGACAGTTTGACTTCTTCCTTTCCAATCTGTATCCCCTTGATCTCCTTTTGTTGTCTTATTGCTCTATTGAGAACTTTGAGTACAATGTTGAAGAGATATGGAGAGGGCAGCCTTGCCTTATTCCTGATTTTAGTGGAATCGCTTTAAGTTTCCCTCCATTTAATTTGATGTTGGCTGTCAGCTTGCTGTATATTGTCTTTATTATGTTCATGTATGTTCCCATAATCTCCCGTTATCATAAAGAGGTATTGGATTTTGTCAAAGGCTTTTTCTGCATCTAATGAGATGATCATGTGGGTTTTTGTTTTTTTTTTTTTTTTTTTGTCTTGTTCTTTTTTTTTCTTTAAGTTTGTTTATATGGTGGATTACATTGACAGATTTTCATATGTTAAACCATCCATGCATCTCTGGTCTGGGATGAAGCCTACTTGATCATAGTGGATGATTTTTTTTTCTTTCTTTTTTCTTTCTTTTTTTATGTTTTCTTGGATTCAGTTTGCCAGTATTTTATTGAGTATTTTTGCATCAATGTTCATGAGGGAGATTGGCCTGTAATTCTCTTAGTTGTGTTTTTGTGTGGTTTGGGTATCAGGGTACTTTAGCCTCGTAAAAAGAGTTTGACATTGTTCCTTCTGCCTTTATTGTGTGGAACAATTTGAGGAGTATTGGTATTAGTTCTTCTTTGAAATTCTGGTAGAATTCTGCATTGAAACCATCTGACCATAGGCTTTTTTTTTTTTTTTTTTTTTTTTTTGGTTGGGAGACTTTTGATGACTGCTTCTATTTCATTAGGGGTTATAAGTTTATTTAAATTGCTTATCTGTTCTTGATTTAATTTTCGTATGTGGTACCTACATAGAAAATTGTCCATTTCTTTTAGATTTTCCAATTTTGAGGAGTACAGGTTTTTGAAGTATGACCTGATGATTCTCTAGATTTCTTTATTGTCTGTTATGTCCTCATTTTTATTTATGATTTTCTTTATTGGGATATTCTCTCTCTGGCTTTTGGTCGGCTTGAATAAGGGTTTGTCTATCTTGTTTACTTTCTAGAAGAACCAACTTTTTCATTGATTCTTTGTATTGTCCTCTTTGTCTCTGTCTTATTGATTTCAGCCCTTTGTTTCTATTTGATTATATTTTGTTGTCTACTCCTGGATGAGTTTGCTTCTTCTTGTGGTAGAGCTTTCAGGTGTGCTGTTAAGTTGCTAGCATGAGATTTCTTCAGATTCTTTAAGTAGCCACGTATTGCTATGAACTTTCCACTTAGCACTGTTTTCATAGAGTCCCATAAGTTTGGACATGTTGTGAATTCATTTTCATTGAATTCTAGGAAGTCTTTCATTACTCTTTTTATTTCTTCCTTGACCCAGTGGTGGTTCAGTTGAGCACTGTTCAGTTCCCATGAGTCTGTGGACTTTCTGCAATTAGTGTTGTTAAAATCCAGCTTTAAGCCATGGTGATCCTAAAAGATACAGGAGGTTATTCCAATTTTTTTTTTGTATCTGTTGAGATTTGCTTTCTGACAGAGTATGTAGTCAATTTTAGAGAAGGTTCCATGCGGTGCTAAGAAGAAGCTATATTCTTTTGTGTTTGGGTGAGTTATAACATCTGTTAGTTCCCTTTCTGGTAAGTTTCTGCCTAACAGACATGACCATTGGTCAGAATGGGATGTTGAAGTCTGCCACTATTAATGTATGGGGTTTGATGTGTGATTTAAGCTTTAGTAATGTTTCTTTTACACATTTATGCCCTTGTATTTGGAGTACAAATGTTCAGATTGAGACTTCATTTTGATGGATTTTTCCGGTGAGGAATATGAAATGTCATTCTTCATCCTTTTTGAATAATTTTAGTTTGAAGTCTATTTTGTTAGATATTAAGATAGCTACACCAGCTTGTTTCTTAGGTCAATTTGATTGGAAAATCTTTTCCCAACCCTTTACTCTGAAGCAATGTCTGTCTTTGAAGTTGAGGTGTGTTTCTTGTATGTAGCAGAAGGATGGATCCTGTTTTCATATCTATTCTGTTAGCCTGTCCTTTTATAGGTGTTTTTGGGTGCATTGATATTGAGATACTAATGGCCAGTAATTGTTAATTCCTGTTTTTTGTTTTTGTTTTGTGATGGTGGTTTTGTGTGTGTGTGTGTGTGTGTGTGTGTGTGTGATTATCTATTGCCTGTGTTTTCATGGGTGCAGCTAAATTCCTTGGGTTGGAGTTTTACTTCTAGTATTTTCTGTAGGGCTGGGTTTGTGGATAGGTATTGTTTGAATCTGGTTTTGTCATAGAATATCTTTTCTTCTTCATTTATAGTGACTGAAAGCTTTGCTGGGTACAATAGTCTGGACTGATATCCGTGGTCTCTTAGTGTCTTCAAAACATCTGCCCAGAACCTTCTGGTTTTCAGAGTCTCCATTGAGAAGTCAGGTGTAATTCTGCTAGGCCTGCCTTTATATGTTACTTTGCCTTTTTCTTTTGCAGCTCTTAATATTCTTTCTTTATTCTTTATGTTTAGTGTTTTATTATGTGGCAAGGGGACTTTTGTTGCTGTTGTTCAGTGTGTTTGGTGTTCTGTACACTTGTTAAACCTTCATAGGCATGTCCTTCTTTAGGTTGAAGATTTTTCTTCTATGATTTTGTTGAATACATTTTCTGAGTCTTTCATATGAAATTCTTTGCCTTCCTCTATCCCCATTATTCTTAGGATTGGTCTTTTTATGGTATCCCAGATTTCCTGGATGTTTTGTGTAAGACTTTGTTGGATTTAATATTTTCTTTGACCAATGAATCTATTTCCTTATTGCCTCTTTTCCCATTTTCCAAGTCTTGAACTGTTTCCTTTACTTGTTTGATTTTCTTGGCTTTCTTTAAGAGATTTATTTCTTCCTTTTTTTTTTTTTTTTTTTTTTTTTTTTTTCTTTTCTTCCATTTTTTAAAGGGAAATTTTTATTTCCTCTTTAAGGGCCTCTATCATTTTCATAAAGTTTTTTTTGTTTGTTTGATTGATTGATTGATTGATTGGTTTTTTGAGACAGGGTTTCTCTGTGTAGCAGCATTGACTGTCCTGGAACTCACTCAGAAGACCAGGCTGGCCTCAAACTCAGAGAGCTCCACCTGCCTCTGCCTCCCAAGTGCTAGGATTAAAGATGTGTGCCATCACCACCTGGTATTATAAAGTTATTTAAAGATTATTTTTTCTGATCCATCTGTGTTAGGATGCTCTGGTCTTGCTGTTGTAGAACCACTAAGTTCTTACAGTGCCAAACTGCTTTTTATGTTGTTGAATGTATTCTTACACTATCATTTGTCCATCTGGTTTTGGTATAATTATAAATACCGGTGTTGATTTTTGTGGTGTCTTTGTTTGGATGAGTCTTTTGCTCCTTTATTATTTCCTTTATTGTCCTTTGGCTTGAATGGCCAAGGGTTCTGGTGATTGGCTGTCAGGTCCAGTAGGGTTGCCTCAGCTGAGATTTACAGGGACTCAGTTCTTCTGGCTGGTGTGGGCCTAACTTGTACCATTGGGATCTGTTCTTCCGACTTTTGCCTATAGGGTCTGCTGATGTTGCTGGCAGGGCTGTTCATGGGGAGGATGCTAGGGTGGGTGGGATTGGGCACCGACCGGTACAGGTGGCGCTTGTGCCTCTGGAGGCTCTTGATGATGTGGGGAATGGTTGGCCAGGGGAGGATGATGGGTTTGGTGGGTTTGGGTGGCAGAGTGGGTCTTGTAGTTTACAGAGTCCAATGGGTGGTGATGGACGTGGAGCGGCCAGCCTGCAAGGCTCTCACCTGCTGGCCAGCTGCTGGGGCTAAGATGGGAGGGGAAGGGACAGGCATGTGCCCTGGGGCTTAAGGCCTAGGGACTGAGGCACTTTAGCAGGGAGAGCAGTCACTCACCTCTTCTTCCAATTGATGCAAGGGTGCTTGTACCTCTAGGGGCTGCTGATGCAGGATACCAGGTATGTGACCCCTCTGAAAGGGTCACTTGACCCCCAGAGTTGAGAAACACTGGTTTGGAGATCGTTCTTCTGGGAATGGAGTGAAGCTTGTTTGTTCAGGCATAGAGGAAAGGAGCAGGCACACTCCCAGACATACGCGACACACACACACACACACACACACACACACACACACAGACACGAAAACAGGAATGGGCTTAGGCGCAAATGGGAAGTGTGGTGTGGGAGAAACAAATAGAACATGCTAACGTGCTGGTGTATTCCTCCAGATTAGACATGACCATGGCTGTCTGCAAACAGACAAAGTGTCATTATCCCAAAGATCCTATTATCAGAAACTACAATGTTAGAAATCAAGTCTAAATGAACATTATGGCTGATTTGCCTTTATTTATGAACACTGGGTAAGATACAGTCTTAATTCATCAACTTTGAGAGGTCGTCTGTGACTCTCTGGTGACTTTTGACTCTCTCTCTCTGTCTTACTCTCTGTCTCTGTCTCTCTGTCTCTCTGTCTCTGTCTCTCTCCCCCCCTCTCTCTGTCTCTCTCTGTGTATGAGACTTTTTTGTGACTACTAATCTAATGGTCAAAGGTTGACATTTTTTCAAGAAATGGAAGAGAGGGAGGGAAACTTGGATTTTCAGCTTTCTCCTCAGTTGGCCCAGAGCATGAGAGGTCAGATTGGAGCAGCCTCTGCTGCACTCAGCTCTGAGAAACCCAAAATGACCAGCCAGCGCAACCTCAGCTAGAAGCATGGGAGTTACCAGTATCCAGAGGCTTGCCGGTTCTAGAAAGAGAAAGGTACACATGAGTTTACCACATAGAACTGACAAGGAGCTCTCTCAGGCGTGGCCAGTGTCCTGCCAACTCTGTCACAAGCTTCCTGATTGGAAGGCAAAGAGCTGAAAGGCAGGACATACATTTAGGGGTCAGAGGTCAATCTACCTTCAGAAGCTGTCACTGGATAGTGTGGACCAGGGCCCTCGGGTCCTATCAAGTCCTGAATCACAGACTGGGACAGGTCTGCGTTCAGACCTGTGTCTACCCTGCATGCTGGCAGGCGCCTCTTGACTGGAGCCTCATTGGTATCCTCCTGAACTCCTAGTTCACAATGGCGCCGACCAAGACCACGCCTTCCAGTTGACATGTAGTGACCAGGAGAAGACAGATCCAGGGTAGGTGGTGAGCCTGGGTCTGAATCAGGCTTCTGGAACTCCTCAGCTGTGGCAATTGATGGCTGCCTAGAACTGCAAGGAGTCTTACTGTCAGTGGCTAGACAGTGTGAGACCTGGCGAAGCCCGAGATCCCTCAGTCCCCGAGTTTTTCTTGGAGCTTGGATCACCCGCCACGTGGTGAGCTCCTGGTTAGTAGATCCCAGAGTCTCTGTGTGGTCCACAACTGCCTGATCTTGGCCACGTTTCCACAGCTCATATCTCTCAGGCTGCAGGATCCGCACGAAGGCGTCCATAGAGAAGCTCACCCTGGCCTCCCCACAGCTGCACTGAGTCGCCACCTTGCCATAGTCAATCCACCTCGGGGTGGCGAAATTGATGGCCTCTGCACAGTTGAAGCCGTGGTTGAAGCCAGCGTGGTAGCCGTAGGGAAAAGTGACCATGAACTCCCCAGCCTCCTGCGTCATGCGACCAAAGGGGATGCCATTCTCCTTGAGCACGGTGGGTGAGATGAGCGCCACCTTGTGCCTCAGGAAAGCCTGGCAGCCCTGGGAGCTGCCCGGGAACAGCTGCCTGGCCAGGTGCTCCAGACGCCGGCCGTGCTCAGGGGGCACGGCGTACCATGTCTTGGGCTGCCCAAAGTGTAGGTAGTTGATGCTGTACAGGTCCATGTCCTCCGTGTGCCACGCGAAGGTGGTCTTCCACATGCCGAAGTACAGGTAGGGCGTGTTCACACCCTCGATCACAATGCCGCATTCTTGTTCCAATAGGTCCTGAATTGTCCCCAGGTGTCCCACGTTCCAGTGTTGTGTTTTCCCATCAAACAGGGAGCCGCTGACATCTGCACCATAAATTGGTGACTCATAGAGACGATTCTTCCAGTATTTTCTCTCCAAATCTTCAAAATTCAAGTGTGGCGGGGTCCTGTATTTTTTACTGTTGGCCAGGTGACGGTACTGGCCAACTGTCATGGCTTTCTTCTTCTTATGGTATTGAGTGAACACACCTGCTCTTCCAGAGACCACTTGCTGCAGGGGAGTGGCTATTAAGATGTTGCTGATATTGTCATAAGACTGCCTGGCTCTCCACTCCTTGGGTGGGATGACCTTGGCCAGGCCAGCTCGGTGTGCCCCTTGGGACTCCATATAAGCAATGTATTTGTCAAAATCATTAAACTCTTCTTTGGTTGGACGAAATATCATTATGTTGCAATTTGGATTCTGAGTACAATTGGACTTAGACTTCATAGCTTCAATTTAAACACAAAATTCTAATATATACACAGGGTTGTATATAAATAAATAACTGTGGGTGCCGTAGCAGAATCTACCAGTCAGTTTCTGTGTGTGCTGAGAACAGCCTTCCTTCGGCTTTCTGGCACACCAAGAGCCGGCACTCTGGGCATGCGCTCAGTCCAGACACCGAAGGGCGGCCTCTGCTGTCCCTCAGCTTCCTCTTGTTGTCTATTGGCTTGCACAAATAGGGGTGTAGCAGAATGCTGTCTTCAGGGAAGTGACTAAAGTGCAATCTGGAAGAACAAAGTTTGAAATGTTAGCAAAGGCTCAGAGAACTGGAAATGGAGCACTCAATTGCACAGTCTCTTCAGAAGCTCTTCCTTGGCATGCTCTCAGCACAAATGAAGGTGTGGCAGGGGACAGAGCAGGGCGAATCTTGTCCCCACCCAATAGAATATGACACAGAGCAGTCAGTTTAGGGACCTTTTGTGACAGTGTTTCTGGAACTGAACACATGTGTGCTATGATCCAGTCACTCGGTTACAGAAAATGCTCGTGCCTAGGCACTGAGAGCCATGGCCCAGAGTGCTGACGTTACTGTTCTCTGGCTGACACATTCTGCAAACAGCAAACTCCCACCAACAGCAGAGTGCAGAGGTGCATTTCTGTAAGTCTGTCCAACAGAAGGCCATCAAGTCAAAAGGTGAATGTTCCATACAGCAACCAATTCTATAAAGCTGACATCGGGGTTTTCTAATTCAAGAGGGTACCTATTACATGATCCCATCTATTTAAGATTGAGATGAGACAGGAAATGTGTGTTCAAAGTTAGTGTTCGAAGTTCACAGAGTGGGTATCTCTGTGAAAGGGAGATGCTTGTGGGTGGGAGCCTAAGGGGGGATCCGCAGTTGCTGTCTGCTCTGAGCCTAGCTGCAGCCTCATGCCCATCAGAGCATCCCATTGTGATTGTTCACCTACTTGGTGATCTTTACAAATGTCTCTCTGTTAGCATAAAACAGTTCGGGAAAATAAACACTAAAGCCAAAGAAGCACAAATAATTGGATTAGAAGGAAAAGAGTAATTAGAAGTGAACCAATTGAAGAGATTGTTAAGAAAAAAAGTAAATAGCCAGACTGTGGTGGTGTACACTCTTCGTTCAATCATTCGGCAGGCAGAGGCAGGCAGATCTCTGTGAGTTCAAGGCCAGCCTGGCCCAGAAAGCACGTGTGAGGACAGACTCCAAAGCTACACAGAGAAACCCTGTCTCAAGAAAAAACAAATAAATAAAAAAAGTAAACAGGGGTCATGCATTTCCTTAACTCACATTGTGTCATTTTTTATGGTCACTTAAATGTTTTGTGCAACTGGTCTTACACAGACCAACACAGGATGACAGAATTATGAGTATGGGCTGTCCAAATGCATGAAAAAAGGAAATGGTAGGTGTTTGGTCAGGCTAGAGTTTCTTCATGGCTGTATAGCAGCGAAGGTCCAGAGAGTATTGGTTGTTGGATGGGAGCTCATAACAACTACGGGCCATTTCATCTATTCTATATACAAATGAACATGACAGCACTGAGGGCAGTCAGGAAGGAGGAGGCACTATTTCATTCTAAGGTTAATTTCTCCATCAGGTCAAACATTTCTGTTAGGGTACTGTGAAGTAAGAACGAGACACTGAAACTGGCTTCTAAACCAGTCACATTTTAAACTTTTTGTATCTGTCTTGAGAGCTTTCCTAGTTCTTACTTTGTGCTGTTACAAACTGTTTCTCTCCTTTCACAATCTCTCTCCTCAAATGCTTCAAAGCTCTTCTGCCCTTTCCTAACTAGATGACCTTGACCCTCATCTTCCTACTTTCTTCACAAAATACCATCTCTTCTTACCTCCTGGCCTTGATTGGCTGGGACCTTTATTTTAAAAGTTCCATATCCTACCCTTCCACCCACAGCTGTTCCGTGGAGCTGGCTCTGCCAGCGTTCCCACTTTCTGAAGACCGTGACGTGGGGAAGATGATAAGAAAATCCACCAACGGGGAAGATCGTGTCTCCAGTCCTGCCGGGTCCTGTTGGCCTCCACGGCACCCTGAGAGCTTCATCTCCATGTCATGCAATTTCCCACAGATCTTAACTTTATTGTAGGCATTTGCAACTCTTTTATCAGAGATGGAATTAAACGGGGCCCACGGGCCCACAGCGCCTGTCTTCCCTTGGTTGCAGCCTATCTCCTGCTCTCCTCCTAGCAGAGGCTACTCCTGAGCTTGTCCCTGCCCCTCCCATTCACTCCAGTACTCCATCAGTTAAGCAAGCACCGTCACCACTCTCTTCATTAACGTCCCAGTCTCCAGTTCACCTTCTTTTCAGAACTAAAATGTGTCCAAACTTGTTTACAGTCGAGTCTTCAGGGACAAACGGCCTCCCCCACCAGATGGCGCTCTAGGTTACACTTTATCAAGAGGGTGTTTTATGGAATGCCTCCCCTTCCTCCTCATCCTTGACCTCTAGGGCACTGTTCCTCTTGCCTGGATTTTCTTTCTCTCCTTTGACCCCCCCCTCAACCACCAGCCACTACATAGTGCAACCTTATCTCAAAGCTCAACTTCCTATCATGCTGTTGGCATTGGTTAGTACTGATCTGCCTCTCCCTTCCACATAACTCACGGTCAGTCCCTTAACGACACTTTCTCCTTTGCTTTCCTGTGTTGGACCTTCCACGGAGGCCCGAGAGTCAACTGTAAAGGACAATCAACCATTTCCTCTTTGAGACTAATTTTGGTGGACGCTAACACAGCTATCCTCAGCATCACCGATAGTTTCATCTCATTCCCCAGATGTCAAAGGCACTCAGACCCCGTGGCCAGCTTCGTCCTCAGGAAGTCTCTTTGTGCTCTCGCCCGGCACACAATGATGCAGCCGCCTGTGCTCTCCTGCCGACTGCACTCCCCAAGTCTCTTCAAGCAGTCCTGAAGGTGGGCTACTGATAGTTCACGCATCCATGGTAACCTCCATCTTATCCCAAGTTTTTAATCTTAAAAGTTATCTGTGGGGCTAGAGAGATCGCTCTGTGGGTAAATTCCCTACTGCGAAAATCCCCGGTACCCATGTACAAGTCAGGCATGGTGCTGTCTGTAACCCTAGAGCTGAGGGCTAGGGGCAGAGACAGGGGGCATGGATAGTCTAACCAACTTCCGGTTCAGTGAGAGACTCAGCTCAAAAAAACGAGATGTACTTCTGACTGTCTACAAAGGCACATAAACAAGTGTACATTCATGTGCACACTGAGGCATACAATGCACACACACACCCCAGTCATCCTGAAAATTGCTTTGACATATATAGTCAATGTTAAATATGTAGGCAAATATTTCATTAGTCTGCAAACATGGTCTGAAAAAGTGAGGTAATTTAATAGGAGACTTAAATACTACATGAGGCTCTTCCTCCAAGACATAATAAAAATGCTTGATGTTAACACAAGTCCCCTCTTCTAATTGAATGTGTTTTGAGCTAGGTATGTAGTGTTTTCTAAACTGCATTTGTAAGGGTTCTAAAAGAATAAGGCAATGTGTCCCTGTACATAAGGCTTTTGTAAGTGTAGTCTGTGCTCACAATAGTATTGCCTAGAATCCGCCCACTACAGTTACAGTAATCCTTGTGTGCTAAATCTCAAATGGCCACCTTTACATAAGTCTGGCCTATGGTTTCTCTCAAGCAGAGCCCACAGGACCAGTAGAGGACACGTGTCTGGCAGACTTTATCTGATCTGCGGCAACCACAGTAACAGGAGTCCTCATGGAAGAGACCGGAACGTGTTTTATCTCATCAGAATGTAAAAAAAAAAAAAAAAAAAAAAAAAAAAAACATAATTGGTGTCTTACTTGAAGGATTTCTGGAAATTAGAAAGCCATTGCTCCACATTACTTAAATACAATGCCTCCAGTCAGCCAGGTTACTCAGTGGGTAAGGCACCTGCTGCCCAGACTGAAGATCTGAGTTCCATCTCCAGGACCCACATGGTGAAGGGAAGGAAGGACGCCAACGCATCCCCTGGCTTCCACACATGCTCCGCAGCACTTTACCCTGGAACCCTCCACCGTGTGTGCGTGTGTGTGCACGTGTGTGCGTGTGTGCGTGTGCGTGCGTGTGTGTGCGTGTGTGTGTGTGTGTGTGTGTGTGTGTTACAGGAGAGAGGATAGGAAATGAAGTTGAGTATTAATGGCCCTTTCTACTACTGTCATAGCACAGACTGTAGGAGGAAACTGTCCTTCAAGCTGTATGCATGTTCCAAACCTATTGCTTCAGATGGGGATCACTGACACCATGCCCCAGATGTTATCCACCGTTTCTTTAGCCAGCATCATCTTCACTAACCATTCGTAGTGGTCCATAGCTGAAAATGTTCTATAGAAATAAAAGACTCACCTCTTCTCTCCCTGGACAGTTATTTGTTCACATGTCCACAGTTATTACCAATCACATGCAAATATTTACCTCAGCTTCAAGTATCTGAAACAGCACATCCAGTAAAATATTGGTTGAATGAAATTTCTCAGAGTACATACTTGTAGATGAGACATTATTGTAAGATCTTTAGCACATGGTGCCAAAGCTTTCCTGTAAGAAATGATCATCCCCCAATGCTACTTTTTAAGCCTTTTACTATCTGATGAAGTATAACTCATAATTTACCTTTCTTGGGTCACGCTGGACTTTTCACTACCTTGGAGATAAAGACTTTTCATTAACGCGGACCTTTGGCTCTTAACATATTACCTCATTCTCTTTTGTCCATTTTCTGCTAACAGTGGTGTGTTTCTAACCTATTTATATGAACACTTTACATATAACTTACAAATTGTACACCTTAAATCCTTTGTTAGATAGTTCTGCCTATTTGGCATATTTCTTGTATTTCTTTAATTTCACTGAAATTAAAATGCTTGATTTGTGTTTACCGTTTTATGTCATTTAGACTTCCCCATGTAAACACATGGAAGTATTGCCTTCATTTTTTCTTTTTATGTGAGGGGCTTACCTTTTATGACTGTTTGTGGGCTCTGGTCTAGCTGCCTCCTTGGTCTTTATGGTAAGCTCTCTGTGCTGGCTGTGGTTTCATTTGCTCTGGCTCCCTCTCCCCTTTGCCCCAAGGACCTTCTCTCCCAGTGTCCTTAAGTCTGACTAGTCTGACAAAC